ATAAATTGTTGGATAATGGGCGTGGCGCCGCCTACTTATGACCACAGATGTGTGTCTCGGTAACTGAATCATCAAATTGAACCACAATTGGTGCATCTTATAACCTTGCTACGGAAAAGCAATCTGTTGAAAATTATTCAAATCGGACTAAAATTACACGCCCTTCCCATAAAACGATAAATTACAAAAATACGAAAACTCCTATATTTCACAAACTGAGGAAACTAATTAACTCCAAGTTAATACTTACAACAATCTCTTAACAATAAATAAGACTATAATAGACTTTTAAGAATTGGGCGTGGCACCCCCCACCTTATGGCTACAAAGGTCTATCTCGGTAACCGTTTTATCGATTTCTACCAAACTGGGTTCAATGATTTCATTAAGTCAGCATATTATCGAAAACGTTTGAAATGTGGGAAAATGCCCCTGCTTATTATGCAAAGGTAGTTGAGAGAAAAAATTTCACGGTTCGCAAAGTTGTCCTTTAATAAAACCGGTTCTGCCGTGAAATCCGTGCACCGTATAAGCGTTTTGCAAGACTAAGGCCAAAATCACACAATTGGTGCATTTGTACAGATCTTTTTCGAAAGTTGGGTTAGGTAAGCAAACTACCCATTTAGAAACAACTACGCTGTCCATTGTGACGCTCTTAAGAGGAGAGGGAAAAGGTCGCAGGGAGGCCGGGAGGTAAGGGGAGGCTAAAGAAAGAGTTTTGGTTTTGCTGCAGTGAAGCGACAGAACAAGTGACGAGAAAAAATATATGCGGACACTTACATATATATGTATCTATGCACATACGTATCTATGTACATACGTATCTATGCACATACGTATCTATGCACATACGTATCTATGCACATACGTATCTATGCTCATATGTATGTATCTATGCACATACGTATCTATGCACATACATACATATTAGAGGTTTACGCCGACAGGCTTTGCGGCGGCGGCGTGGTCAACTTCAAAAATAATCGGCGGCGGCGGCGACGCCGGCGCGTCTGTAAAGGCCGGCGCTACTGCCCATAAGAGCCATGAGGCTACTAATCTTATCATGTCATCTCGTCAGCGTTAGGCATTCGCCTTGTCAATTCAGATTATAATTCTACTTATTTCCTTATTAAATTAGTTTTAAATTTAAATATTGTTACTTCCTACTTGAATTAAAATTTTGAGTGCTTGGCGCTGATGGATAGGCGAACCGAAGAGGGTCTAACGCAAAGAAAGTTACTTGTGCAAATTGGGGCAACAACATCTCAAGTGACAGTTAATGCATGGTCGGGCATACCACAGGTCACGCATTGTGGACCACTGTTGCTTATTCTATTTATAAACGACTTGCCTAACTGTTTTAATTTTGCAAACTGCCTGATGTTTGCAGATGATGTTAAACTTTTTTCAGTTGTGCGTGATCTCTCAGATTGTAATCGTCTTTAGCTCGATCTAGATGAATTTCAGCAGTGGTGTAGATTAAACTGTTTGAACCTAAATATAGGTAGATGTTGCGTAGTTACGTTCTCGAGGCAGTCTAGTAGTGATATACCTTTTGACTATAAATTAGATGGTTGCGTTATAAAGCGGAGCACTGAAATAAAAGATTTGGGCATTATTTTTGACTCCAAACTCGCGTTTACAAAACACGTTGACTATATTGTATCTAAATTGTTCTCAATGATAGGCTTTATTAGGCGAAATACTCAAGAGTTCAGAGATCCCGTAACTTTAAAATCCTTTAGTATGAAGCCGTCTGGAATACTGTTCTATAATATGGAGTCCATATTATGAAGTGCACTCGATCAAATAGAAAGAGTTCAAAAGATTTTCACCAAATTCGCTATTTGCAAGTTGCCCTGGCAAGGTTATGTTCCTCCCTATATTGGCAGACAGAAATTGCTGGGTATCCAGTCTTTGAAGGAAAGAAGAGATTACTTCTTCATTACATTTATTTATAAAATAATCAATGGGCACACAAATTGCGCTTATTTAACTGATTTGCTCATATTATATAATCCCCCGCGTAATTTAAGAAACAAAAGGCTATTGGTTGATGCTCTGCATACCACGAATTATGCCAAAAATGAACCAATTGCTAGATCATTGAATTGTGCAATACATATTCTAGTGTTATCGATTTTAACTTAAGTATTGATAGATTTAAGAATAATTTGTTTACAATATTCACCTAGAGTCTTCACTAGTCTGTAAGAAACTAGTTCTGTAGACTGAAATTAAAAAATAAATAAAGAAATATACTACATACATACATGGTTCTCTATGTTCTCTATAGATCCGTATGTACTATTTAAATTTAAAGAAATAAAAAAAAAATTTAAGTTAAGTTATTGGAGTAATTATTTCGCTACTAATAAATTTCTGAAATAGCGTTATCTACCGTTATGTTAAATTAAGGGGTTCTTACGATTTTTTGCGGGTTATAGATTGAAAACTAGGGTGGTCTACTATTTTCCAGGGGTTTTATCCATCAACTAACAGCAGAACAGGCCTGGTTAAAATTTCCACTAAAATTTTAAGTGCCAAATTTTCCGAGGGTAAACAAAAGTAATGAAAAATACTACTAATTTCCATCAAGAAGGGGGAACTTTAACCCTGTGTAGAAAACATTGCGATGCGATGGAGCAAAACCTTTCTGGGGTTTGCCCACCACTTGTGAATGCTAACATAGTTTTCACACAGCCACATAGAACTTGTATACGTCTGTGGGACCCCGGAATAAAATAACTTACTTATTTAAAATCTGTTTAAAAAATATTCAACTCTTTATTAAAGAAAAAATACACAAGAAGATCAATTTGTTTTTGTTTTATCTCCAATAATCGAGGAGTTAGATGCAATAAGGGCACTTCTGTTAAAACTGCTTTCTGAGATATTATCGTTAAAGTCTTTTGGTGTGTGACAACTTTCTTGTTGTTGTAGTAATCTGTAAAAAAGGAATATTGTTGTGGTATTGAAAAAAATTGTTATATATTCTGTAATAGTAGTTTCATGAAAACTTTCCTTAGGCGCCGAACGCCGCCGCCGCCGCGCCGATATTTTCGTAACTCGGCGGCGGCGCGTGAGTAATGACAAAAAACGGCGGCGGCGGCGGCGTGGCTCGGCGGCGTATACCTCTAATACATATGTACTTAGGTATGTATATCAGCATTTTAGTTGAAAGTACGTTTTGCTCGTCGCTCTCATCATCGCTCCACTACATTCCTGTCCTTAGTTTTATTCAGATACCACAACTGCGCGATCCAGAAAATTCTTCTATCATTCTTGCCACAAATGTATGTTTTCTTCGAAAATACTCCAGTACTACCAGTAGAGTACTCTACTGTCAAATACCTTTTACACTTGACCCGAACGATGAGAGTAAAGGAGGGAAAGTATTTGCGCGGCGATCGGATGTCTTGTTAGGCCCTTTAAATGGAATTGCGCAGGAGTTTAGTACGTATGTATATCAACTCGGTGCGTAACATTCCTGATATGTACTCAGTGTCTAGTTGGCTGTTTTCAATTAGGAAGCGACCAACTAAAGCCGTGTCTGTCAGTGAATAAAAAATACGACAAATTTTGTCGCGACAGCACATTGTGAGCGAGCATAAGAAGTTGTGGTCTACGGCTGAGATTTCAAACTAGGACGGAAATAGTAGAGCAAACAGTAGTTATAGTTCTTCTCTTTTATAAAAGCTGCTTTTTAACTATGAAGTACCGACGGCACTAAGAAAACGAGCTGTGCGGAATATATGCGGGGTTTTTTCCGAACAGATTTTTTTTCCTGCGCCTGATATTAACGTCATTTTTCATCTTTTCCTCAAAGAAAAACAATGATTCGCCATAGAATTCTACTTAGCCTTAAGGTCTGATTATGCATACTTCGCATAACTTCGCACAACCATTTGTACCAGTGCAATAAAGATGCAACTTAAGAAAATATGAAGCAAAATCTAAACTCAACAGATTGCTAAGTTTTTAAATGTTCTGCTAATTTCTGGGTAATGGAATACAAACAAAATACGTGCAAAGTACATACGAAATTACAGTTTGAAGTTTATGCGAAGTTGTGCGAAGTTATGCGAAGTGTGCATAATCAGACCAATAGCTTCCTCCAGCGAATGGCAAAATTGTGCAAAGTCAGCTTAAAATTTCAAATACCAACTTATTTTGCTGCGCTGCTTTCACTTCAGTTTAGCCGGTTCTGCCGTGAAATCCGTGCACCGTATAAGCGTTTTGCAAGACTAAGGCCAAAATCACACAATTGGTGCATTTGTACAGATCTTTTTCGAAAGTTGGGTTAGGTAAGCAAACTACCCATTTAGAAACAACTACGCTGTCCATTGTGACGCCCTTAAGAGGAGAGGGGAAAAGGTCGCAGGGAGGCCGGGAGGTAAGGGGAGGCTAAAGAAAGAGGGGGTAGTTAAAGGAGGAGCAAGGGTCATCGATGATGTTCAGCTTTACGGCATGATTACCTATCACGCAATGACCAGTTAGCAATCCCACTAATAGTGAGAGGTGTATCTTGCTCCCGAAACCACCCCGGTCTACACGTGGCCAGAATAATTTAGCCTCCTTGCATTCCAAGGTCTTCGCTAGCGCTCGCTGATTAAATGCTCATCTGTCCAGAATCAGTACACACGATTTCGCTGTGGCCTATAACCCAAATATGCTTAAAAGCGAAGTAACCTGATGCGGTCAATAAGGAAGTCAAACACTCCTTCACCATTCTCGAACGCATCGTCTAGGAGACAAGCTTTGAGTCAGCTTTGACCTGTCTGTAAATAAGTTTACAGAACCCCGATTCCCAATACTGCAGGCCTCCTAGTCCTCTCTCGCTGGAATGTGGGTGGTTAAAGATCAATAAATTAAAAAAAGTTTATAGCGCAATAAAAATTTTTCTTGAAGGAGGTGAAGATGCAGAGCAGCAATGTTTTATACAGCAATCAAGCTTCGTTTCGCAGCAAACGGCACCATATATCTTTTTTTTCGTATTAATGGCACCCAAAAAGCCTGCCGAGAAATCCGTCAAACCCGGCGACAAGAAGCCATCGGCAACTTCAGCTGGCTCTGCTTCAGCTGCAAAGCCTGCTGCTACCAAGAAAACTGTACCCGGCAAGAAGCCTGCTGCTTCCCCAGCTGGTCGTGTCAAAAGCCTGTAGCTAAGAAAGCAGCGCCTGCCAAAAAGCTCGCCACCAATTTCAAGCCAAAGGTTAAGGATGCTAAGAAGAAGGCTGCCGCTGGCAAGAAGGCACAATCACTCTTGGCTAAATTTTCTGCGAAGGCTCGCGCCGCCGCGAAGGGCAAGAAAGTCGCCGCTAAGCCCGGTGCTAAAGTGCAAAAGGGTACGGCAAAGGCTAAGGCTATTGCTTTATTGAAGGCCAAGAAAGTTCAAACTAAGATTGTGAAGGGTGCTTTTGGTACACGCACACCCAAGGTGCGCACCAACGTGTACTTTCGTCGGCCAAAGACTCTGGTGTTGCCACGCCGAACAGTGGACCAAAAAAGGTTGCTGTGAACAAATCAATTTTGAGAGCCCAAATAGTTTAGGAAGAGCCAGCATGAAACTATACAAGCAAGCAAATGAATGTATAGAATTGATAACAACAACCACGCTGTCAAGTATAAATAGCGGCAAATCAGCTGCACTTGATAGCAGTAGGTTAAATAAGGAAAATGAATTAGCAACACAAGTTTATGGGGCGTGCATAGCTCAGTGGTTAACGTTTCTGACTTTGCAAACCGATGACGCGGGTTTGATCCCTGCTGAAAGTCTAGAAAAAAGAAGTCTGATGAGGAGATGTGGTTATCTCCGAAATAGCTCCTATAACTTCTACTGCTTAGACCTTGCTGTTTTTTCCATTTCTCCTAATAGTATAATCGTGGTGCAAAGCTCAATAAGAATATTAAAATTAAATGTTAATAGACCACAATGACATTGTAAATTTGTATACCCGAGCGCACTTGTGCACAACTTTGTTCACATAACGGTTGTTTGTAAAAGGCAAAACGAATCGAGATAGATATAGACAAATGTATACATAAATGATCAGGATCAAAAGATAAATCGATTAAGCGGTGACTGTCTGTCCGTCCGCCCGTCCGTCCGTCCGTCCGTCTGTGCACACGATAACTCGAGTAAAAATTGAGATATCTTAACGAAACTTGGTATGTGCACTTCTTTCGGGCGTAGGACAGATGGTATTGAAAATGGGCAAAATCGGACAATAACCACGCCTACCTCCAATATAACGGTAATTTTCAGAAATACGAAACCTGCGATATTTTAGTAACTACTGAAGACTATTCACTCAAGATTGATATTTACAATAAGTTTTAGACAAAAAATAAGAATATTATAAATTTTTGGAAAATGGGCGTAGCCACGCCCACTTATGGTTACATGTATATATCTTGGTAACCGCTGCACCAATTTCTTCCAAACTTGGCACAGTTGTTAACCTTGGTATAACATACGAATCACATATATGTATCTTGGTAGCCGTTCTACCAATTTGTACCAAACTCGGTGTGGTTATTGTCCTTGCCACATAGAAGCAAAACGTTGAAAATTATTGAAATCGAACTAAAATTACGGCCGCTCTTCATATAACAGTAAATTTCAGAAATGCTTGAAACTTCAATATTTCGAAATTTAATTACGCTAATTTACTCAAAATGGATACACCCCGGTTTACCATGTAGCGGTAGCTTTCGGAAAGGTGAAAAACATACATTTAATACTTGCGCCGGGTATTTAATGTTCGGCTCCGCCCGAACTTAGACTTTCTTACTTGCTTAATCCTGCAATAGAAGATCCCAATTTGTTTATGATGACAGAATAAGAATGCGAAGAAATATTGGATGAGCAAAGCCTTTTGGTTAAACCTTGCCCAAGCGAACCGTACGTGTAACGTGGCCAGTGTTTTGTGTATCGTTACCAGTGCCCAAATTGTATGAGTAAAAATGGTCAAAAACCTAAAATTTACAACAATTGAGTATGCAGATGTCCACCTGCATTCATTGTAGATGACACACTGAAAAACTACCAATATTCGTTCACCCATTTCGTAGAAATTTCAAACTTTTTGTCACAACCCATCATTGAACTTCCAAATAGGGTAACATAGTCCGGGCATATTCGAATGCTTATAACCTTGAAATGATGATTAACATGATGAAATGATTTATTAACACCTTTCTTTTACAGATACATAGATTTGGCCATGCCTAACCATATCACCTAAAAAGCTCAGTTGGTTTTGTGTTATTTAATGGACAATTGATTCATATTGAAGAAATAAAATTATAGTTTAAAAAACTAAAACCTCCCTATTATAATTGCCATTCGTACTGTCATCAGGTATGTAACTTGGGAATAGAAATCGTTGCATCTCTTAGGCGCAACAATATTACATAGTTAAAGTTATTACATAGTCCCGAGTTAATAAAAGGAAGGTAATATAAATGCGTACGACTGTAACGTAGCCAGTCAAATAATCGACCATATGTATATTGCATTTCTGTAGAACAACGATTCTCACCCATTTTGAAATTGCCACCAACTATGCTGTAGTTTCTAGGAAAAATTTACTGTAAAACCGGATCATTGTTGCCGCCAGGGAGTGAAGAGCAAAAAGTTCTTGAAATTTATTTCGTTTTCCGATTAACCGTGCTACGAAATGCTGCACAATTTGGGAATTTCAAGAACTTCTTTACGGACATAAAACTTTCGTTAGTTTATTTAAAGCGGCAAATGACCACTAAATCACGTAATTGCTGCTGTGCGTAAACTTTATCACATTAAGGTAGCCAAGGTCAATATTTTGGTGAGAATATTTACTGATTTATCGAAGATTTTGTATTTCTATAAATTACCGTTATATGAGATGTGGGCGTGGTTATTGTCCGATTTTAAAAATTTTCGGCCATTTGATATGGTGTACCAAGGCCAACAACTGTGCCAAGTGAGGCAGAAATTGGTGTAGCGGTTACCAAGTTATACACATGTAACCGTAAGTGGGCGTGGCTACGCCCATTTTCCAAAAATTTATATTATTACTAGCAATTACCCGGCGTGCTTCGCTGCGCCTTAAATGTATTTTTGTGTTGTAACTCTCCCCCTAAGCTCTTATGGCCTCATTTACAAAATATTTTTAAAGAACTTTATGAAGTTAGATTTAAAAAAAATCGATCTATGAAGCATTGTTTATTTTTATTTTTTGAGTTAATATATTTTCGAAGGTAATTAGAAAATATGTAAAGAACCGACTTTCTCTTGGAAACTTAATTTATAATCATATAACTGGAGTCTACTATCGCACCCTTTCCTCAAACGTGTATTGATTCAATATTCAAATAACGTATATTTATATAATTTGAAAAAATCTCCCTACTATACAAATATGTACAGCAATATTAACTAATATTTTCAAATGTTGTGAGAGGGAGTAACAAAACAAAATTACTTTTAAGGCGCAGCGAAACACGCCGGGTATTCGCTAGTGTCACATGAAATTAACTGAGCAAAGTACAATGAATAGCTGTTAAACAATGTTTCACGCACCGGCACCATCTACTTTAAATGAAACATACTTATTTTCGTGAGGGATACTCACACACCATATACTTTTCTATAAATTTTTCCTGAATTTTCTTAGCTATAAACCTCCAACGAATGCAAAACCGTGGAAATCGGTTCGTGCGTTCTGGAGTTATAGCGTCAGGAAGGAAAACCCTACTTATTTTTATATTAATTTTTATATTAAAGAAGATTAAAGAACTGTCCGCATTACACAATTTTAGTTTTCACAAAAACGGTATTCATGAATTTTTTAATTTTTTCTTTATTTGCTTCCGCATATTTTTGACATAACAGCTTTCATTTTATGCCCATATTAAACAAATACAGCCTAAGTTTACCCGGGTCCACGTTTTGGTCTGTATCTCGAGACCCTAGTCACCCAGCTATATGAAAAGTGCTCAATCTTAAAGCATTCATGAACAGCTTTCATTTGATACCCATATTGAACAAATACATCCTAAGGTTACCCAGGTCCAAGTTTTGGTCTGTATCTCGAGACCCTAGTCACCCAGCTATATGAAAATTGCTCAATCTTAAAGCATTCATGAACAGCTTTCATTTGATACCCATATTGAACAAATACATCCTAAGGTTACCCAGGTCCAAGTTTTGGTCTGTATCTCGAGACCCTAGTCACCCAGCTATATGAAAATTGCTCAATCTTAAAGCATTCATGAACAGCTTTCATTTGATACCCATATTGAACAAATACA